GGCGGGGGGCGGGGGGGGGCGGGCAGTTCTAGGACACAGCGTTTTGAGCACACTGAGCAAGAAGACAGGGAAGCCAAGCCAACTATGGGTTTGACATTAATCCATGAACAAGGTGATGGCCTGACAAGCTTTGTAATTAGGGAGGAGTTAAGAAATTAACTAATTTTGTATGCATTTTGAAGGCAAAGTCAATAGTTTGCCAACAAAAGGGAAGTAGAGTGTAAAAGGAATCAGGGGAGACCAAGGTTTACAGCAGAAAAAAGTATAGAATTGTCCCTGGCAACTGATAAGGGGAAGACTGTCAGCCAAACTATTATTTTTAGGAAGAGGGGATCAAGGGCTCTACTTTCATAAATCTGAAGTATCTATTAGATATCCAAGTGTAGATATGAAGAGAAGAGATCGGTTCCAGTTTAGATCTGCAACGCCCCAACCCAAGGCTGGTGTTTGGAAGGTGACTGGATTATGGGGGTGTTATAGCGGCTTGCTGTTAGGAGGGAGGGTCTGGTCGGAAGGGGTGGGTCACTGTGGGGCATCCTGGAAGGATGCACCTCCCTTCCCCACTCCTACCTCCACACACTGCTTCCTGTCCACCTTGCCCCGAGCAACTCTCCTCCAACACACCCCTCTGGCATACTATCCTGCCTTGGAGCCAGCTGACTATAGACTAAAACAAGAGAAAATAAACCTCTCCTGCCTTAAGTTGTGGGTGCCAGGTACTGTGTCTCAGCAACAAAACCGTAGTAAGGGGCTGGGGATCTAGCTCAGTGGTTTCGCCACCTGCCTCGCAAGCGGAAGGACCTGAGTTCGATCCCCGGTACCCAAAAAAAAAAACAAAACACAAAAACAAACTGTAATAAGTTTGAGAACTGGTATAGAGACGGTTTTATAATGAATGAGTACAAACATAAGGAAAAGGTCAAAGGATTCAGCCCTGGGGGACTACAGGCTTTACAGATGGGAAACAAGGCTGTGCGTAAATAAAGTACTCTGAAAGTCGAGTGAGGAAGTGAACGATCCTGGTACCAAACGCTGTCAATAGGTCTTGGTAAGAACCAAAAACAATGCACATGACAACACAAAGGTCGCTGAGCTTAACAAGCAGTTCTAGGAAAATGGTAAAGAGTAAATTCAAAAGTAATTTAATTCAATTTATCCTGTATGAATGGATTCACTCATCTTCCTTCTTCCCACCAATGCTTACCCCCATCTCAACCCAGCTTAGAGTAAACCTTAGAGTAAATGGGTTATATAAAATGACAATGTCTCTCATTTGCATCAAGTCACTTATGTTTTTCCTGAACAAGTGTGAAATAGTTTTAATCAAAAGAGATAAAGAACACACATTATATAAAATACTCGTGTTGTTGAATTAAGATGTTGGGAAAACAACACAGAAGACTAGATTTCATTCAAAGGTTATTTGGGGGCCAGGGATTTAGCTCAGTGGTTCTGCCGCTTGCCCTGCAAGCACAAGAACCCAAGTTCGATCCCTGGTACCAAAACAAAAACAAAAACAAAGGTTATTTGGAAGAAGACTTAAAAGTCACATTAAAATGAAGGTTCTGGTGACTGTAAATGATTACTTCTCTAGCATTTAGACATGCAATGTTTTCTTGCTTTTAGACCAAACACACAAGGATCCAGGGTCATTCCTTTAAGCTATTTAGTTTCAAGGACTTCAGAAAGACTGTGACCCGATACTGCACCCTAGACCTGAACAAATAACCCAATCCATGTGTACACATGCCAAGATTTCCATTTCTGATTGTCCTGTGACCAGAAAGTTTTGTTTTCTAAGTCACATGCAACTCTAACCAGAAAACACTGTAGATGCAAAAAAGAAAAGCAGTAAGCCGCCAAACTCACAAAACTCCAGACTTCAAGTGGCTAGAACCCTATCTACGGCACTGGTACTTAAGATAAAGCCATTCATTCACCTCTGATTCCCAAAGGAATCATTTAACTGTTGCTGTCTATCAGTCCACTTGCTTCAGTGATCAAAGCCTGCATAGAAAACTTTCAAGGAGTCTTATGTTCTTAATACTGGCAAATGTTCTCTGAAGCAGCACAGGACAGGTTAGTGTGTCAGGTAAAATGAAATAATACATTCACTGCCAAAGCAAGTGCTCAGGCAACAATTTTACTATCACTTTCTACATCTTTTAGATAAAGCCTTCCTTTAGAAGTGCCTTTAGACACTTGGATTGCTTTCATACTCTAATTAGTGACCATACCGTACTACTTCACTCAATGGGTACTTAATGAACAGTGACTGTGGGATGTACCAAGGGGTTTATAATCTTAATAGTCACGACCTAAATAAGTTAGTAGGATTTGGGACTGCAAGTGCCACGTGATATACCAATCACCAAAAAAGAATCAGCTTTTATCAGAAAACAGAAATTATTCATTTAGAAAATTGAAGACAAATCCCCTGCAATTCAGCTTCTGCCTCTACCACACCTAAGTATCTGTTAGAAGTCCTCTAACTTATCAAATACGAAATCCCTCCCAAGTGACAGGTATACAGTACATGAATCTGGCACTCTAGCTACCTAGAAATGTTCCCCCTTCCCTTGGCTTTCCTGAATCCTACTCCACTGATTCTCCATTTATGGAGAATTTCTCACCACCTCAGCCCTGCATAACCACACCTCTTCTTTCACAAAGCCATACTCTCATAACTTATCCTAGAAAGCAAGTCTATCTCCAGCAGTCTACAACTCAGGCGCCAATAGTCACATACTCAACTGTCAGGGAGATCTTTTGAAGACACTGCACAGTTTAAACTCAGTCATTTTCTTCTCTATTCTTCTCAAGTTCATTCACAGCTCTACCAACCAAAGTATCACAAACCCACCCCACCCCAATAAACCTCAGCTAAAAACCCCAATTTTACTTTTCCCTATTTTTTGTCTACTTTACCTCAGAATGATCTCCCCGAATATCCTAATTGTAATAATTTGAAGTATGTGAAGAATCTAGCACTACATACTATACACTGCAATCTTTCCAAAAGTCTAAGAATCCCAGTTAAGATGTTCCCATAGCACCACTTGGCATATAACTTCATTAACGTACTAATTACAGGGCCGCGGATTTAGCTCAGTGGTTCCGGCGCCTGTCTCACAAGCGCAAGGTCCCAAGTTTGATCCCCCGTACCAAAAAAAAAAAAAAAAGTACTAATTAGACAAAATGACAGTAAGATTTGTTTACTGTCTGGTTCCCCTCCTAGTTATACATTTTTCAAGGGCAAAGATCATGTCTCACCTTCTTATAGCTAGTGCTTGGCACATAACCATTCTCTTCATTTAAGTATTTATAAGCTTCAGATCTTCCCTATGTAAGAATTGGTGACATCTGAGGACTAAAGAACATTCTTATTCTTACCCCATCAATTTTAGGCAGCTCCCCAATTTTAGCCTCTCAAGTGCTAGGCATGCACCAGCACACCTGGCAGTTCTAACCATTTCATAAGGAAAAAGAAAAGAATACTCTTACTAATATAGACAATACAAGATGACCTCAGTCACAACAAAGTTTATACTTTAAAAAAACATATTCACAACTATCTCAAAATACAATTTCTTCTCCTTTCCTCCCACCCCGTTTTCTAATAAACGTACCTTCCAACATGGTCTTGATTGTCACAGACTGTTTGGCAATTTCAACATCAACTTCAAATATCTCTCCGTCAGAACTCTGCAACTTAATTGAAGGCATCTAAAAAAGGTACATCGAATGTGAAATTTAAGAGACTACTTCAACAAGACATTTCATCAGCTATAGTCTGTCAGAAAAGCCTCTGACTTATTAAATATAAAATCCTGAAGACCTATTATAGTATACGAAAACACTGTGTTTCCTTTACAGGCTAGCCTACAAGTATTTCCTAAAATTTTTTCAAAGTAAATTTCTAGGAATAGAATTTTTATGTTTGCCCTACTGAGTCCACTGCAAGTATAAATTTAAGTTACATGCTATACTTTTGATGAAAAATATGTTTAAAATGAAAATGAGACTACCAAAATATACAATAAATGGTTTTTTCTTGGGGGGGGTACTGTGGATGGAACTCAGGACCTTGTGGTTACAAGGTAGGTGTGGTGCCACTGAGCTAAATTCCCAGCCCTATACAATGTTTAAATTAAAAACAATTTATTACAGTAAAAAACACATTGCCATTCATCCCCCTCTATTTGAACACACCCCACTGTTGCCATTTTCTGAAGCACTTTTGTAAATTCAATTTCAAGTCTTTTAAAATGTGTAACAATGGTCCAGGGATTTAGTTCAGTGGTTTTGCCACCTTCTGGGCAAGTGCAAGGACCCAAGTTCAATCCCCAGTACCAAAACAAAACAAAACAAAACAAAATGTATAATAAAAAATATGGTGACTGCTGCTGCCAAGTGCCATCCAACAGAAAGGCAGGCTTGTAAAAACACTGCAGTTTAGCCGGGCATGGGGGCGCATGTCTATAATCTCAGCACTAGGGAAGCTGAGACAAGAGAATGATTGAGTTCAAGGCTATCCTGGGCTACATACTGAGTCCAAGGCCAGCCCGGGACACCCCATCTTCAAAATAACTAAACAAAACAAAACACCGAAAACCAAAAAAAAGGACAAAAAAACAACAAAAAAACCCAAAAACAAAACAAATCTGTGGCTTGTCCTCATCCACTGGATTTGGCACCATGTGACTTCTAGCTCTTCCCTGAAATGAAAATGACCATGAAAGGTAAACATTTTGAATCAATTCAGGACATGGAGGTAGCCTTGACAGGAAGGAGAGATAGATACTCGCAAAAGACAACTTCCAGAACTGCTTCAGAAAGTGGCAAGTACAGTGAGATTAAGTGTGTTCTAAGGAAGGGAGAGTATTTTGAGGCAGATTAATGGCAATGTGTCTTTTACTGTAGTTAACATTTTTTTTTTTTGGTATCAGGGATCGAACTTGGGACTTTGCACTTGTGAAGCAGGCGGCAGAACCCTGAGCTAAATCCCTGGCCCCTGTAGTAAACATTTTTTAAGTTGAGCGTTCACTACTTTTTTTATTATACTTTTTGCCTGCCTTTCTGTTCCCACCAAATTCTAACTACCCATTTGAATATTTAACTGCCACAATTAATCACCTGCAAACCTCAGTGAGGTTAGTCCAAAATAAACAAAGCTACCCAACAAAACAGTCATTACTCCACTGAGTGAAGATCCAGAATAAACCACGATATGCTCATTTATGTCTGAACCAATTCAAGTATTTAAGGAAAAAAAAATTAAAGTACTTAAGGAAAGGCAGAGGTCAATACAATTCCTTAAACCTCATAAGGAACTTAATTTCAGGTCTTTTTATCTTTCATTACTTACTCTCCAGGTGTCCAAATTTGAGATCTCCTGGCAAAATACCAGTAATGATAAATTATTACTTGCTTCCAATATGCATTTATTAACTCAAACAAATTAGGACTCATTAGAAAAAAATGTATCTTTTACATAAAGTTAAACAATTCAAAGGACTTCAGTTTTGGCAAAAAAAAAATTTAAAACCACTAAAATTAAAAGCTCTAGGGGCCCGGGGATTTAGCTCAGTGGTTCTGGTGCCTGCCTCGAAAACGCAAGGTCCCGAGTTCGAGCCCTAGTACCAAAAAAAAAAACAAAAAAAAGTTCTAACCCAATAGTGTTTTACCAGCCTCAGATTCTTCTCCCAAACCCCAAAAAGAGCAGCAATATGTGAGTGTAATAATTCAAGAAGGGGCCGGGGATTTAGCTCAGTGGTGCTGCCACCTGGCTCGAAAGAGCAACGTCCCAAGATCGATCCCCAGTACCAAATAATTAATTAATTAATTAATTAATTCAGGACTACTTTAAAACTCACCTAAAGCTCTTACATTGCCCGTACTTCGGTAATCCAATGATGTCAGTATTTACTTACAACACCTCTGACCCCTTACAGGTGGCTTGTATTTGACAATACTATCAATTTTCACAGAAGTGTAGAGCTAGGCATTGAAAACATTTATTGCACCCATTTTAGATTTCAGGGACTTAACACCCACTAAATCACTTAAAATATTCATTTAGCTTTTCTGAGACAATTGTTCCTCTCCCCCAAGCAAACAAGCTGCTAGAAGGAAGCAAAATGGTAAAGCATGTTTTATAAGAAGCCACTGAAGTGTCCAACTCTCACTCATCTATAGTTGGCAAGAATCAGATCTCTTTTCTGCTCACAAACATGTCTGCTTCTCCACGTTACCTAGTCCCTGCAATAATGCGGTTACCCTTCTCAATGGAGAAAGTCTCATAGCAGTGGACCCTCCCCGTGACAAGGCAATAACAAAGGCATCCTTAAAAGAAAAAAGGGACTCCGATTTGTATGTACAAAATACTTTATGTTCTTACATTCCACAGCAATGAAGTTTCTATAATTACAAGTCTATCAACGCAGTTCGATTACTTTAAATCAAGACAATCTTTTCACTTTTTCAAATAATTTACAATTAAGATGTGCTTAGTCATACCCAAACTCGGGCATTAGGTTATTCTTAAGGGAGCCGAGACCTTATTAAATAACAGAGAAGTAATCGGTTAATCTGTAATCCGATGCGCTTTGTAATCCTAGACTCAAAAGGCAATTTTACTGCTATATTGAAAGTGCAAAATTTTTAAGTTATAATGGATGAGATTTTGATCTGACATTTTTTCAAAACCATTTCTTCAATTCTTTAGTCCTGTTCTTGAAAATCACCCCTTCACGGCTGGCATAAATGACTCTATCACATCAGAGAAAAAAAAAATTAAAACCCATTTGAGTGACCCGAAGTTCTGACACTACTTCTTTTTTTTTTTTTTTTTTTTGCTGGGGATCAAACTCAGGGCCTTGTGCTTAGGAAGCAGGCGCGGGGCCACTGAGCTAAAGCCCCAGCCTCTGACACTACTTTTTAAACTACAGGAGATGGCGTGGTCCTGTGACACAGAAACACTGATGGAAGAAAAAAAAAAAAGCCCCCAACCTTAAATTTCTCCTGAAAAGTGAACGAAAAAAAATGAACGTTCGCTCACTTTAAAAAGCCAGACACCTCGAGCCTTAAACTTAGGGCTCCTAAAAGTCACACCACCACCACGACGATATTTGTTATTACAATGGGTATTTCAGCGGCTCCAGGCCAGTGCAAAATAATGCAGAAAATTCCTCAGAAAGAGCCGGCTGTTATTTGCAAAAACTCGCCGGCAGCACAGGTAGGACGTGAAGCTAGCGACTCCAGACAGCGGAGAGAAAGAAAAGCGCCGAGATCCAGCGGACCACTACCACCACCACTCTCCCTCCCGACAAAAAGCAGCAGACACGCCCACGCTTCCTTCCCACGCCGGGACCCCGACTCACGGCCCGGCCGCCGCCACCCCCGCCCCGGGGCCCGGAGCAGCCAGTCCGACGCCGCACAGGCCCGGGCCGCGGCCTGCGCCCTGGAACCGAGCTCCGCGCCGAGACACCCGCCCGCCGCAAAGCAGGCCCAGCCCTGGGCTCGGCCCACTCTCCCCGGGCGCCGCGAGGACGCACGGCCCAAGAGGCCCGGCCGAGGGGCGCGCAGAGATGGTGACCAGGGTCCAGTGGCGCTTCCTGGAGGACGGCAGCGGCCCCTGGCTGCCCCCCGGGCCTGAAACCAGGGCAGGCCCAGTCGCCGCCCGCCTCGCGCAGGCCGAAGCCGGCCAGCGCCGCCGCCCAGCCCAAAATCCGGGGACCACGGCCCCTTCCAGCTCGTGGGTGGCTACTCACGGTGCTGGGTCTCTAGAGCACGGCGGGCCCGAGGGAGATGAGAGAAGGTAGCCGAGCCCACAGACCACACGAACGAGAACGAGGGCGGACGAAGCCACTACAGCGGCGCCGCGCGGCGTCGGCCTTTATAGGAGCGGGCGCAGGCGCCGAGGACCCCGGCGCCCGTGGCGTCACACAGCCGGAGGGGCTGGCTGCCGAGATCGCCTGATGGCAGTCCAGCACGGCGGGCTGGGACTAGGGCGCCGGCCGGGAGGCAGCGGGACCGGCGGGCCGGGGAAGGGGTTTCCCTTCACTCCCACCCTCGAAAGCACGGTGCTTCCTCCCAAACCGGAGCCTGGGACCGGCTGGGTTACCTCTGCGGCTCGGAAGGGCCTTTCAGGCAGGGACTGTCTTAAGCTCAGTGAAGGACCCTAGGAGGAGCCTGGAAACAACAAACAAAACAGGGCGGGGATTGGGGGTGGGGTGGGTGGGTGTCTCAAATGACACTTCCTGGCCTGCCCTCACTCCCCACAGTACCCCCTCCCAGGTGAAACGTTACCTTTCCCCCCCTTTCACCAACGATCGGACAGGCCCCAAACCGTTAAGTAGAGAGCAGGATTTGAACCTTGTTCCACAGTTTGGTATTAGTCACACTTTTTTCTCCCTACTTTTGACTGCTGTGAGGTTTCCAAGGCCAAAATAGAGCACGTTGTTGGGAAATCCCAAGCCTAGGGAAAAGATGCTACCCGGCAGCCATTCTTTCAGTGAACACTCGCTGAGCCCCTGAAGTGTTAGCCCCCATGCACACACCCAACCCGTGCTGGGCATCCGGCTGTGAACCACGCTGCCAGGCCCAGCCTGGACAGACCTCTGTTGTACGGCCTGCTCCCAGGAGGCTGTGATAAGGTCGACAGGATGAAGCAGCTTTAATGGAAAGGGAGAAGTCTGAAAGCCCCTACCGGGCTTCACCCCAGTCAGGGATTGTGCAACTCCTTGGCCTTGCCCTGCTCTGCCTGAGGAACAGCGCCATCCCCGCCCCAGGAGGCCAGGGCGCCTGGCTCGCTTAGCAAACAGGCACGTGATAGTATTCCTGACACCAGGAAGACAAAAGACGCTTCCACGAGGGGCCCCTAGAGAAACCAGAGACCTACAGCTCCTCTGGACGGGACTGTGCGAGCCGCTCCTTGGGTTACCCGGTCTTTGTCTGCAAGCTGTGGGATCCAGTGTCTGCCAGGTGCCACCGCCGATGACAGAGATGAAAAGCCCACGGCGCTCCACTTTCTCCCAGCACCCCACCCCACCCCACCCCACCCCACCAGTGTCAGGCCGCCCAGGCAGAGGCTCCCTGCCGCGCCTTACAAGCTTGTAGGCATCCTAACCAGGACCAGGCAGTGCCAGGTCGAACAACCACCTGAGGACCCACACAGAGCCTGGCACAAAGTAGATACCGTGTTTTTTCAAATGTCTGAGAATCTCTAAGAGATGCTCGTTTTAAAAAGGGAGGTTTGGGGCTGGGGGTGTAGCTCAGTGGTAGAGCACATGCTTAGATGCACAAGGACTTGGGTTCAATACTCAGCACCACTCCCCAAAATAGCGATTTCCTTTAACTTGTATGTGCCATTTAAGGTACAGATTACAAAAGAAATTGGTTGCCTTAGGGGAAGGAAACTAGGTGGCTGAGGGGCAGGGATTAGGGTGATTTTTCATTTTATACCCTTTTCTGCCTCTTAGATATTGATCTATAAGAATGTATTACATATTATTTTTAAATTTTTTCTGGGATAACATTTTTCTTTTACATATTAAACATTTTTACCTTTAAGAAATAAATTGGAGGGCCGGGGATTTAGCTCAGTGGTTTTGCCACCTGCTGTGCAGGTGCAAGGTCCCGAGTTCCATCCCTGGTACCAAAAACAAAACAAACAAGCAAAGAAATAAATTGGAGCCAGGCATGGTGGCTCACGCCTGTAATCCCAGCACTTGGGAGGCTGAGGCAGGAGCTTGGGTTGAAGGCCCTGTTTTGGAAAGGGAAAAAAGAAAGAAGGAAGAAGTTAGGACTTGGTAGAACAGTTCTCTTGCTGCAGCCTATTGAAAGTTAGTCTCGGGCCTGGGATTTAGCTCAGTGGTTCTGCCTCCTGCCTCGAAAGCGTGAGGACCCAAGTTCGATCCCCAGTACCAAAAAAAAAAAAGTCTCAACCAGGTGAAGTGGAACACACCTGTAATCCCAGCTACTCAGGAGCCTAAAGCAGTGGGATCACAAATTCGACACCACCTTGGAAAGACAGTTAGATACTGTCTCAAAAAAAAAGGCTAAGGGATGTACCTCAGTGGTAGAATGCCCCTCGGTTCAATCCTTAGTACCACAGCGGGGGAAAAACCCTTCTAAAGGTTTGTAAAAATAAAGAAAATACAAAGAAACAAACAATAAATGGACCTCAAGTCAAGGAAAAGGCAGATTCTTGAGTCCACACTCGATCTAATGACTCTAAATGGGGGGGAAGGTTGTATCTGTCTTTTAAAAAAAGCCAATCCCCGGTACCAAAAAAAAAAAGCCAGTTCTCCAGGTGACTCTTACACCCAGAGTGAGGCGAGACACCCGTTAGTGGGAGCTCAGTGATTATGCCCTGGCCAGAGGAGCCAGCAGGGTTTATCAGAGGTGACTGGTTTGGCTCCACGCTCTCTGGAATCACTCTACACTTCCTTGAACCCTCCATTCAAGAGGACCAAGGTGCTGGCAGGATTCTGGGGGACCGAGAGGTGGAGGTGACTCATCCCCACTCATTTATTCACAATCACTAGCCCAGGTGAGACAGGACTGGCCCGAGTCCCCTTGGCAGACATGGATGTGTGAGGTATGAGAGCAGAATGCCCCGACTCCAAGCTGTTCCTGACTTCAACTGCCACGCACACCATATAATCAGAACCTCTTCTGCTACAGCTTTTGTACACAGGGAGAAGAGGGGAGGAATGGGATAAAATAAAATTTAGATTAAAAAAAAAACAAACTTCTTGTTCTAGAGAGGAAGGAAGCAAAACCCAGTAAAGAGCCCAGCTGCAGCTCTGGCCACAGCCACACTCCTGCCGTCACAGCCTAGACTTTGATTTGGGCCCCACTCCTCAAGTATCAGGAACGTTTTGTTTTACAGCTGTTCCCAGCATACTACCTCCATGGTAACTGAAGGCCCGGAATTCACACAGTCTGCCGGACAGAATCGGGCCCGGAGCGGATTTCCCTGTATAAATGCAGTCTTCACTGCTAGCAAGCATTCACAGGATTCCTAGGAGGAGCCGTGTGTCTAAAATGGCACCTTGCAGCCCCAAGTTCAGTTCACATTCCCTTTCTCAGACAGCTGCTCATTTGTGGGTCAGTCAGTGGACTCTGGGCATGGGTTCCAGCCCCTTCGACCGCATGTAAGAGGAAGCCAGTGGGGGCCGGGGATTTAGCTCGGTGGTTTCGCCGCCTGCTGTGCAAGCGCAAGGACCCAAGTTCAATCCCCGGTACCAAAAAAAAAAAAGAGGAAGCCAGTCTGCCTGGTCAGAGATGTCCCGGCTGCTGCCTGCTGCTGTCATCTGTCTCTTTCCCCTCATAGCCACGCTAGAGTCGCCCGCCTGCCCGGGTTATGTGATCTTCTGTGGAGAGCGAAAGGTTGAAATAACCTTGAGAGACCTCCGAGTCTCTTGAGAACATAATGAATCCTGGATATGCAGCTGGCACAAAAACAAGGATGGTTACTTGTAACGAGAGTGGTTAAATAGAAAGAGTTCCAATGTCTGTAATGCGAGGGAACGTTATTGCCGGAGTTGTAAAGATACATTTGACCTTTTCCCTGGAAAATAATTAGTCGCCCGAATTATGTGCTGAGGAGGGGTTGGGGGTTATGGAAAAGGTATATAAAGGGCAATAAAGTGGGAAGAGGGGTCTCTCCTCCGCCTCTGTCTCCTTTTTCTTTTCCTCAGAGGTTTTTTCTTTCATCCTTTCCCCTCCTCTCAGGTACTGTTCGACTAGTGATGGCTGGCACCGTCACAATCTTCGCTGAGTTGCTTCACCTCTGAGCCGTGCCTCTCTCTGTTGGGAATTAGTGTGATGATGTCAGAGCCACTTTTCCAAAAGGCTGGAGGAGGAAGAATATGGAAAGAACACTGGGAAGAACAGAGGGGAGCATCGCCGTCAGTCACTGTTTGAGAAGAGGTTCTCTCCCTTCGCTCCCCAATCCACTCAACACAGCCATGGGGGGATACAAGGCCCTGCACATAGTTTTATGACTCTGACAGTGGAGAAAACTGTCCACTGGTCTGTGGAAAAGTCTGAATCATCTTCCATGGTGAAAAAGTATGGTGTGGTCAAGGAGAAATGGCGGGTAAGAGGGCCTAGGCAGGGGCCTGGAGCGTCTCTGGCTCACGCTTCACGTATGAGGGTGTAGGGGCCAGCCTACAAGCTCGAACCTGACCAAGCGGTGATGAAAATGAAAAATGAGACACATGATTCCACTGCCTGCCTCGCAAGCACAAGGTCCCGAGTTCAATCCCCGGTACTAAAAAAAAGAGACACAGAAACAGGTTAAAATCAGGGGGCTCATGTCTCCCTTCCACATAGAGCCTCAAGTGCCTGGTGCATGTTGGCTTTATTCGCTCAGACTCGGGCAGGAGCCATTAGAGTTCCACAGGCCTCATCTGTCTGTCTCCGCCCTCCACGGTGCTTCTCCGGGTGAACACCTCAACCTCAGGTGTTCTTACTTCCCCTGCAGCGTGTGAGCACGCTCACATGCCCTCTCTCTCCTCAGGGATCTCCGAGCAGGCCAGTTAGGCCTCCTTCTTCCCATCTGGTCGCCACATGAGGCCCCCAGGGAGCCTCATGATCCTGTAAGTCCCGAGGACCTGCTCTGAGAGAGAGTGGAGATGGGCAGGAAGGGCCACTGAAGCAATGACACCCCCCCACCCCCGTCTGAGCCAGCGACCTGCCACAGATGCAGACCCCTGTGAACACAGCGGGAAGGATGGAAGGAAGGATGTTATGGTTTATTTTTAGATGCCACCCAGAGCCTCGTGTGCTCCGAGGTAGGGCTTTTGTAAGGTGGCTGGATTATGGCGGCGCCATAGCAGGGTTGCTGTCAGAAGGTGGGGATCTGGTCGGAAAAGACAGAGCACTGTGAGCATGACCTGGAAGGGCTTTTCACCCTCCCAGCTCCTTCCTT